GACAAAGCTCGAGTTGCCAAGAAAGACCGGAAGAAGGCTGTGATAGGAAAGAAGATAGTTACCAAGATTTTGGACAACATGATCTTTCCCAAGATTGTCCCATGTGAAGAAATTGATCTGCAACTCAACGTGTCCATTGATGACGACGATGGTTGGTCATGGGCACAGTCCTATGTGGATCAATATACACAGGAACAATTCTTGGCAGATGTTGTGCCGGCCGTTCCGGCGCATATGGTCATGGATGATAACTGGATTCCTTCTATGCCGTGTACGACTTCTCACAGAAACGTACATCGGGAAAAGAATCATGCAGGAGGATCGTGCTTCAATGCCATGGTCACTCGACCCGTCACACGCAAGGAGATGATCAACAATCCCAAGGCCATGGAAGCTTTCATGAAAGAATGGAAGGGATTGTGGGACCAAGAGGTGTTTGACTTCTCAACTACGCGTGAATATGACGACGTCGTCGCTGAGGCAAAGAAGAAAGGTGAGAAAGTACACATGGCGCGAGTACATGGACTGATATACGAGAAGAACTATCAGCTCAAAGAGGACGATCCTGCCAGGAAGTTCAAAGGGCGAGGTGTACTACTCGGTGATCAGGTCAAAGACCAGAACATGGAAGCCGCATTGTTTCAGGATTTGGGAAATTCCCCGGCTACGTTTGACGCCTCACGGTGGGCAGATTATTACGGATGCCTTCCTGGCAACGATGTCCAGATGGCGGATGCTATCCAAGCATACATTCAGGCAAGACTGTCGGGTACTCCATGTTGGGTTGAACTGCCTGATGAAGCCTGGCATCCATCTGCGAAACGGCATAAATTCCGTAGGCCTGTATGTCGCCTGATCAAAGCTCTATATGGACATCCTGACGCAGGAACCATGTGGGAACAACATTGCCATACCGCGGTACAGAAAGTAGGATTCAAGCCACTTGGCGATGAATGGCCATCATTGTATTTCCACCCGCAAATGAAGCTCTTGCTTGTCATCTACGTGGATGATCTCAAGATGGCAGGACCCAAAGAGAATCTACCCAAGGGTTGGGACATGCTGCGCCAAGAACTTCGATTGGAAGAGGAAACGCCACTGGGCTTGTATCTGGGTTGTCGCATCTCCAAGGGCGAGGCAACGTTGCATGACAAAACGAAGGTGCAGACCGTTACCTACGACATGGAGACGTACCTGGACATGACAGTCAAGAAGTACTGCGACGTGACTGGGTTCGATCCGACAAAATTCAAGACGGTACCATCGCCGAGTCCGGCTGAGGAGACTAAGAATCACCCAGCTCGCGCTCCGGCACAGTCAGGTAAAAGCCATCGATGCACGTGGTGTGGACACACCATGCCTGTTGATAAGGATGGTCGGCTCGTTCCGCCTCCACCTATTCCCAAGGCGCCCGAGGAAGAGGAAATCAACGAGGCTAATCGCGGTGCACTTGCTCCGCAGGCAGCAAGCATTCTCATGAAATTGCTTTATGCCGCGCGCATTTGCCGCTTTGATCTTCTGCGCAGTATCAACAATCTCGCACGCAAGATCACGAAATGGACCAAGAAGGAGGATGCTCTTCTTCATCATCTCATGGCCTATGTGCACCAGTCCAAACATCACATGATGATTGGATGGGTCGGGAACTCCTTGGAGGACTCGTCCATCGGGCTGTTTGCAGATGCGGACTATGCAGGTTGTGGAGAAAGTTTGAAATCTACCTCCGGTGCTCACTTGCACATTCAAGGTTCTCATACACGGTTTCCCTTGGCGGGACTTAGCAAAAGGCAGGGATGCTTGAGTCATTCCACACCTGAGGCCGAGATTGTCGCGGCCGACTTTGCCATGTCACGTCTTGGATTGCCTGCTATCACATTGTGGCAGCAGCTTGGGGGGCAAGACCCCAACTTCGTCTTCTACGACGACAACCAGACCATGATCGGGGTGATTCGCACGGGCAAGAATCCGACTATGCGTCACTTGGAACGTACCCACGGTATCTGCATTGGATGGATGCATTCTATCTTTCAGGAAGGTTACGTTTCTCTTGCCTATGAGGTCACTGCCAAGATGTCAGCGGACATACACACCAAGTCGTTCAAGGATTCCGTGTCCTGGACACATGCGTGTCAGCTCATCAACATCTTTCCGCCGGATCTCATCGGCTCCCAAGAGATTATGGATCTGATGCGCCCTACTCATACCCAAAGCACAGATGAGAAGGGTCAGCAGCACTACTCGTTCAAGAGCGAGGTGCCTTGTTTTCCTTACACGCAGACGCCGATCCTCCCTCAGGTGTTGTATCGCGCTGGATTGTCGAGTAAGGAAGGCTTGCAAGAACATGACAGTGTGGACCCCATCCTGGTTGTCAAGTTCCCGCGCATGTTGCGGGGGCCGCCTTCCGCGTTGCCGCCTGGTCGTTACCTTCGGTCGACTTGGATTCTTCGTGAAGGGCAGTGGCACCAGATGGAGGACCGTGCTGCTATCCTTGACACACCGGGCAAGTTCGACCGCTATGTGGAGCGTGCTGTGTTTCAGTACCATCCGGTACGGGGGCATTTGCGCCCCGCCGCCATTGCGGACGTCCTTGCGCCGCCGTTTTTGCCTCCTCCTGAACCGCCTCTAGGCCAGTCTTATGTGCGCGCCCTGCCCGCCAAATGGCGAGCGGTGGTTGTCACACTGGCGCGTGCCATCCATGGGGGGTACCAGGGCTTTACATTGCACCAGGGCTTTTGTTTCAACGGCCAGTCCAAAAGTCAAGCCTCTCAATTTGGTTATGACCAATGGTCGTCGGTGTACGAGGATGTATGGCATGATGCGGCGGAACAGAAAAGGGAATATCAAGGATATGATGGAGCAATTGTGCCTCACGTGGTCAATTTCGCCGAAAACAAACCCAAGGAGGGCCTGGTGATCCAATTCCTCGACCACGATGGAAGGTTGGTCCATACTTACAAGAATCCTTACAGCCGGTGGAAGTACCGTATCACTATCAAAGATGCTCCAAAGGCAGTGACGGTGTGGACATTGATAGGAGTCGATGAGGAGAACTGGTGGAATGAGTATGCTCCAGGCAAGGATTGCATCGCCCAGCATGCTCCCGATTCTCACTACGACCCTGGGCTGCAAGTAAATGTTCTGAGTATGGGGCGAGAAGTTGACGACGCCATGTGCGCCTACCTCTTTGATGTGGTGGAAGCAAGGAAAGACAACCCTAACTCCGTGATCTTCATTGGTGCAGGGGTGTTGGGCAAGAATTCGTGGCTGAGTCGGAAAATCGCTGACAACCCTGAAAGGGCCAAATTGCGGACAGACTACCCATGGGGGGAGGTCGTCCAAAGAATTGCGCGCAGAGCGGCATCATGGGGGTTCCAAATCATCATCGAAGTACCTCCTCGAGTACCAGTCCAGGAAACCAAGCAGTATAAGGGGCTTCAGGAAGATGCCATGTGGAAGAGCATCAAGATCCAAGGATGCACTCACGGGCAACGTTATACCTTTCGGGATCCTGTATCTCCCGGAACCGCCGTTGAGCTCGGCTACTGCAAGGATGAATGGGAGTACATTGCCGCAAACGTCGCGTTGCATCCTAAGTCGTCTGATGTGTGCTCGTCCAAACATTTGCACATGACTGATTCGGACGCTAAGGATCGATCTGATAAATGCGAGTTGACTAGCCAAATATCCAGGAGATTGCTTAAAGCCTTGAAATTTCAGGCAACGGGCGATGGGAGATTGGTAGCCATGCCGTCGAAGGCTGGTGGACGAAAGCCAGACCGCATGATTGTTGACCTCTGTGGCTTGGGTAATGGCTACGCCGTGCCTAAGTCCACTAAGGGTTGCTCTCGCATAACTTGCAAGGAGCTGATCGGCTCCAAAGCCGATGAGGACAACCTTATCGGTACGATGAAGGATGCGTGCCGGAACGACCTGCGCACACCTGTGCTATTCGTGGCATCGCTTTTGCGATCAGGTGCTGGTCCTGGAAGTAGTGAAGGGGCTTGCGTGGGGGGTGAGAAACGTTCCGGTGGGAAGTACAAGGTTTTCAGAAGTGTCTTGAAATCTCTCAAACGCCTGCTGAAGAAGTGTGCGGAATTTTCCGACGTCTATTTTTCGCTTGACATGCCTTCTTCATGTTCATGTTGGTCTTGGCCAGAGTTGCATGCTCTTGTTTCAAGTGGCAAGGTGACGAAGGTTAAGGTTGATGATCATGTTGGTGCTGGTGGCGATGGTGGTGGACGCAGGATCATGTTCTCTAACATGCCTGAAGCGGATCGTTTGATGGTGAGACCGGATGATTGCTTGGACCATGATTCGAAGAGCAGTTTGTCGCAGCGCATTGATGTCTCATGGCGGTCAATTGCGAGGAATGTTCGCAGCCTTGTTCGAGCTCATGTCAGTGTCAGTCATGTTGCACATGAATCTGAGGACATTGCATGGCAGCAACATCAGTGTGTTGACGCTGATGAAGGGGCTATTAGACAGCCCCAACTAAGGAACAACTAAGGTCTGACTATAAGTGATTCATCTAGGCCCGGGGGGCGTGACGCGCAAGAGGGTTCAGGGCATTTGGAGCATGGGTTCCAAGCCCTGGACTTGAAAATGATTTGTTGTAGTAGGGTTTGATTATTTTTCCATCGATCAGTCAGCGCAAGAACAACAGCCTCTCCAAACAAGTATCGTCCCTTCCCAAGAAAACGCGGCACGTTTTGGAACAAAATCGTCGTGAAAGCTACAAACCTACAACTTGTGATGTAGCCAACCCAAACTGCAAACCGCAAGCAAGCATATCTTCCTGACTTTGTCGGCTGTTTTATGATTGGGAATCCGAATCGCAGCACAGTTCAGGCACATGACTCACGTGACAGTGACAGCTTGACAACTTATCATCCAATCTTGCAAGAGGACGTAGGCAGTAGGCATAGCCTAGCTTGCTTGAGGTGTTACATTGGATAAGCCAAGATAAGCCAGATCTTTTCGTTGTGTAGTGTCATAGTGCTATGGCAGAGCCTGCCATCTTTAGGCTTCCAGATCCTGGGGACGGTGAGCTTGAGGACAGAGAGTCCGAGTCAGAGGCCGAGGAAGCTCCCAGGGCTCCCAGGTCTGCAGGTGCCCTGCGGACTGTTCGATATAGGGACAGACTTCGAAATGCTTCCCGTGCAGAGGTTTTGTTTCTGTATGCGAAAACCTGTGGCGACGAATCAGAATCTCTGGGCACCGCTGCTGCAGGGAATTATTTGTTTTGTGTTGCTGAGCTTGGGGGAAAATGCATCAAGCCGTTGGGTGCCCAAGAGCACTTGCAGCAGCAAGATACTTGGCGAGCTCGGCGTCAGAAACGTCGCGATCGAGATTTCGCCGCTAAGCAGATGTCCCTCCAGAACCAGACAACCCGAAACCAGATGTTCAAGTGCTGTTTGAAGTCTCTTTTTCGTTTCAGGGCAGCTGTCCAGTTGGGGCCTGCCCAGGCTGCAGTGGCAGGTGCCTGGTGCCGGGCACCTGCAGCTGCTAACCAGGGTGCGGTGACTCCTGTTCCTGCGATGCCCGCCTTGGCTGGCAGGTTGGCGGTTTTGCCTGCAGGGCAAGCGCAATGGGTTTTTCAAGCTGCTGCGCCAAGCGTCATCTTCGAAGCCGTTGCAGATCGCCAGGGCCTTTACACTTGCTTTGCAGACGGACAGGCGGCGGAGCCTGAAGTAGGCACTGCGAGGCGTTACCTAGGGCGTCCTTTCTGGATGGTTCGCTTGCCACCAACTGTCATGAAGCATTTGATGGAGATAGGCAAGGAGTTCGTGGTTCCTGGTGGGCTTGTGACTTCTTTGGGGCACCAGTTGCCCGGAACCGTTCCTGCTGCGGCAGAAGGAAGCCCCAGTGATGGTGCCGACAGTGGTTCCTCTTCCTCCTGCGAGATGAAGAAAGTGCGCAGGCCGGCCATGCAAGAAATCCTGTTGGGAAAGCTCGCTTACAAGCTCAGCTCAACGGTAGGCATTCAAGATGTGGTTCGCACCGTCCTTCGAATGTTAGTGCCAGATAGTTTAGGTCTGGCAGACAACATGAAAGTGTCGCATGGGCATGTGCGGAATATCTTGCTAAAGCTTGATGCCTTGCATTCCTTGTCTCGCCGGTTCCTTGCCCCACCAGGTGGTGGGGCAGACAAGTCGCTGCGAATTGTCAGGTACATCAGTCCTGACAGTTCCCCGCAAGCGAATTATGATTATTTTTGTGCGACAGAAGAGTTGCTGCTCTATCGTTCCGACGAGCTTCCAAGGGATGCGGGTGGAAATGTAGCTCCTTTCAAAGGGTTTGAACACCAGAGGCGTTCGATGTTGTGTACAACAATTGCGAGAGGACAAGGAAGCACAGCTTCGAAGGCAAGCAAGATGGTACATATGATTGCCGTTGAGAGTGGTGCGTCTCTCTTTGAGACGTATCGTTCGGAAGTTCGGGGCTTCTTAAGCGATCAAGGAACGGAGCGAGGCATAGCATCGTTTCCAGTCCGCAGTTGCTCTGAGGTCCAGAGTATTGTGGGCGCTCAAGCTTTGGCGAGCGAGGCAATACAGGAGGATTTTCGTGAATTGCCGCTCTTTCATTCCGCTCTACACATACCGGGAACACTACACATAGTGTTTAACGCACTGGAATTCAGCTTGAAGCAGCTTGAAACCTGGCAAAAATTCGAGAAACAGTTGAACAGCATCACCCGTGTGTGCAAAGAAAAGAGTTACTCAGAAGTAATTCTTGTGAGAATGATGAAGCATGCGAGCCCCGAGGAGAGACGGTTGTTGCATCGGATGGATGACCTCTTAGACTGGAGGTGGGATTCGCTCGCAAGAGTGCTGAAGGTTTGGGTTCCTCTATATCCCACCTTCAAGAAATATTGGAACCCAGCTGTTTTTGGTGGGGACAGCTCGTCAGTCACAATTCGAGCTGTGACGGAAGCGTTGGCAGACGAGTGCCATTTCGACATGGCAGTGTGGACGCATCAGTTCTCTGCCGAGGCCACCAGGCTGGCCCACTTTTTCGAGGGTTGTCACTGCCATCAGGAGCAGCTGACAGACCCAGAAAACCGGGAAAAGATAAACTGTTGTTGGAAAGGCAGGCGCTTGCCTTGGCTTGCGGTTGGTAATCTCCAGGGAGCTTTGCAAGATGCCATGACAAACAACGAGATTAGTGTTCTTGCGCATCTCTTGTCTCGTTCTAGTGAAACTGCAAGTCGGATGGCGCACATGGCGGACACGTGCAACAAAGTATTTGTTGCCGTTATCCAGCAAAAGCTTGCGTATGCTCAGCAAGTACCATGGGTGTTTGCCGCAGCGTTTGCGGGGTATATGGGCGAGACTTGGGGCCGAGTGAAAAAGGTTCTTCGGCCACATCTTCAGAACGTTGACAACATGATCTCCAGTGGCCAAGTCGGCGCTCTAGACTCTGTTACACATGCTTTGTTTGGACCAACCGACACAGGCCGCATGCTCCGAGAGTTTCTGAACTCGGAGGATGACGTGCCCCTTGATCGATGGCCAGCGTTGTTTTGGAGAGTACAGGAATATGCCTTTGTTTCTTTGTCCGAGCGACACACGGAGAGAGAGCATGTCGGTGTCAAGGTTGCAGCAAACCGTGGTCTCACAAAGGCTGGGCCTGCAGTTGTCTGCAGCCGCAAGCGCAGAGATCAAGTGTTGGAGATGCTGGAAGATGAGAAACAGCTCGCTTTCTTGGTCAACAATTGGCGCAGCAGGCGCCTTTGGAGTAGCCTGCTGGAGCACATGCTCACTCACGAAGAGGTTCGACTTATGGACACGCCAAAGAGGCTTTCCCGCTTGTACGGGTATAGCGAGGAAGACCACTTCAAAGATTGCGAGGACTCTGTTCGTGCTGATGCCGTTTACCGCCAAACTTTGAGAGATCAGACTTTGTTACTGGCCGGAAGCTTCAAGCTTCCGAGTGCTTCCCACCAGGTAGTGAACTGGCTGAAAGGCCATTTGGCGACGGGCGTGTTTTTCAGTGTGTCCACGCATGTCTTTGAGCTACTTGTCGACAGGGGTCGGAGATGTGAAGACCCAGCCGCATCCTTCAGAACCGACGTGCTGCTGTCTATTCTGCGAGCCGACGTCCACCCTCGGGTAAGTGATCGTGCTTCGGTTTTCTGCTCGGTGCTGGATGCCAGGCCAGAAGCAAGAACGGATGCTCGTGTTTCGCGACCTGCTGCACACATCACAGACCCGAAGCTAGGCCGCCGCAGCTGTGTGGTTGTGCAGCGTTTCCACGACGTGGATGTTTCCCAGGGCGTGCACGGCCTTGGTGGAGATGTGCGGGTGGCGTGCACGAATGTGCGGATCGAGGTTCTCGACTTGGCACGGGTGTGCACAGCAGAGAACTTGAAAGCCTTTTGTGCAAACTGTTTGCTCTGGCGTGCTATGCCTGCGGAACTGGCCTTGGCTCTGGGAGACGAGTCCACGCAGCCAGGTTTGCTGCAGGAGCCGCAAGTGCAGAAACTTCCAGAGATTGTCTTAGACAGCGATCCTGCCTGCTTGTTGAGTCGACCGCCTCCGGATCCGCATGTGGAAGATGCCCTCGACATCCTGCACCCCCCTGCCCATGTCGTGCAGAATGCGGACGACTCTGCGGTGCTGCAGGTCTACGGTGCTCCGTGTAGCGACCGAGAAATGCAAGCTATCAAAGAGTTGCTGCGAGCAAGGGCCATCGGCATTGAATCTGCTGTGTATGCCACAGACCTTGAACACTTCGATGCTGTTGCACTGGAAGGCTTGCGTGACCGAGGTCTTGTCATCTGCGAGACTGATATGTTCTCAGATGTATCCGTCGCCTTGACGGGCAAGTTGACCTACAGTGCAAGCTTGGTGCTGGCACGGCCATTGTTGCTTTGGGAGCTTGACCAAACGACTTTGACTCGAGGCCAGATGCCAGGCCGATCAAAGTTGGAGTTAATTCGTTTGTTGTTTGTCTTGGGCTGGGAGCCAGGGCTGGGCCGGGAAGCGTGGCATCGCAAGCAGGGAGAGAAACGTCTTCCAGATGACGTTCTAGTTTGCAGCCTCCCCTTCCTCAGAGCTTTGATGCTGAGTCGGCTTATATGGGAAAAGCCCGGCAACTTGTCGGGCATTTACTTGAAAGGCCCCCAGCAGTATTATGAGTTCTTGGTGGATCAGGACGATCTCAGCAGCTTGCGGGATGCTTCTGCAGAGGAAATCAATGCTCGGTTCGCGCAGAAGAAAAAAAGACCTGCTGGCCGCAGCTTGACAAGAGATGCGGCTACAGGTCTGGAGCTTGACCCAGAGGCTGATGATGCCGAGTTAGAAGAGCTTGTGCAAGAGCTGCCTGAAAAGCTCATGCAAGCAGAAGAGCCGCAGCCAAGCATGGCCAGCGGTGGTAGACGTGTCGCTCCTCTAGAAATCGACTTGGGAGGCGGTAGGACACAGGTAGTGCATTTTGACAATTTCACACACTCCAGCGGTCAGCTCCGAGCATTCGTTGCTTGCGAGACACACAGCGGCTGCCGCTTGTACACGTTTGTACGGCATCATGGCAGCCGCAGGCGGGCTGCTGCCTTTTTGCTTGCTTGGCAAATGCGAGCAGCTCACCACCGCAGAGCTGAAGCTCACATTGCGGACAAGCCAAGTGAAGAGCAGGTGGATGCCATGATGCTCCGGATCGCTTGATGCAACACACGGCAGTCAGAGTGAACGTTTGAGGTTTTTTTTTTAGTTTGTTGCATTGTTTGGATGCAGGACACGTGTTGGCTGACTGTGCTGCTTCCGTTTGCTGCAAGAGTACCTCGGTCACTGTGTGCATGTGTGACTGCCCGTGCATGTGTGACTGCCCGCAGCCCCTTTCGGCTCCTTTGGGCTGTGCAGGGGCCAATGCATTGGCATTTCTCCCACTACGGAAGGCCGGCAGGGAGAAGTGTAGTCGAGTCTCGAAAGCTTTGCGGTGAGAAACCTGTAAAGTTACAAAGCTTTGAAACCCAGGCAGTCCTTAAGCCCCTAGAGTAAGAAGCTTGCTAACTCACAGAGCCAGATGCGGCCACCGTGTGCTCACCTGGGTTTCGGGCTGCGTTTTCGACGCTAACCCATTTCCCAGGCTGCACTATGGATCGGCACGCTACCTGGTCTGTGGGCTGCACGAAGCTACCCTGGAGCTACAGGATGCACAGTAGTCAGTTTAGCGTCCCCGCTATAGGTGTAGCAGCAAGCCAGGTTGCAGTTGCAGGTGTCTGTTGGAACAGATTAGCCTCTCAAAAGCAAAGCAAAACCCCCAACACCTTAAAAAAAATTGCTCGCAGGTGGGTGCCGGTGGTCTACAACCAGTGGGGCGAGGCGCAGCTCCCACACCGGCCGCCTGCGCTGTTGCCGCCGCATCCGCCGGCGGCGGCGGCCCCTTTTGCTGGCGCGGGTGCAGCCCACGGTGCAGCCACAGGTGGCGGTGTTGCTGCTAACCCCTCGGGGGCTGCAGCAATGCCGGCGCCGAAAAAAAATCCTGGCCAGGTGGACCTAAGCAGCGAGGATGACGACGAGGAGTCTGAGGAGGAGGAGGCGGCTAAGAAGGACGAGGACAAGGAGCCGGACTCCCAGTCGCGGAAGGATGATATCGTGGTGGTGGACCACGACCAGGAGAAGAAGAAAGAAGAAAAGGGTGGCAAAAAGGAGGAGGCTGCTCAGAAGCGCAAGAAGAAGAAGGAGAGCAGCTCTTCCAGCGGAGGCAACAGTGAGTCCTCCAGCAAGAAAGAAAAGCCCCGTGCAGCCCCCGCTGCCAAGGAGGCCAAGCAGGCACACGAGGCCCAGGCCGACGAGAAAGAGAGCGGCAAGGCCAAGGAGCCCAAGGAAGACAAGGAGGCGGAGGCGGCGGAGGGCGAGCCTGCAGCGCGGCCTGCGAGGAAGAACCGCAGCCGGCACTCAGCGGACGAGGCAGATGTCGTTCGCTGCGAGCACTGCTGGATGTGTGTGAAGAAAGAAGGCCTGCAAAGCCACCTGGAGAACAGCGAATACTGCCGCCAGTGGCGGCTCCACGCCGCCGGCCAAAATGTGGCCGGCCAAAAGCCTGCGGAAGAGCAGGCGAGCTCGGGTGCGTGCCAGTGCAGACACTGCTCACGGCAGTTCATGCGCAGGTGGGACATGCTGCAGCACTGCCTGGGCACGCACCCGAACTCCGACGAGGCTAAGGAATGCTTGCAGGCCATGCACAATAAGCGGAAGAAGCAGCCATCAAAGGAGGACCGGGCGGCTAGCATGAGCCAACACAGGCCGCCGGTGCAGCTGCGGAGCAGGGGGCGTGTGGAGGAGCCGCCGCACAGACGTGGCCCGCGGCGTGAAGAGAGCCGAGATGATGATGGCAGCCGTGGGCGGCGGAGAAGCCGTGGTGAGAGCCGCCAGAGCCGTGGCCAGGCAAGCTCTCGAGGCGGCGGCCAGGCAAGCTCTCGGGGGAGCCGCAAAGGCGGCGGCCAGGCAAGCTCTCGAGGGAGCCGCAAGAGCTCCCGCGGCAGCGAGCACATGGACCGACGCTTCTCGGGCCGCTCCCGCAGCCGCAGGGCGAGCGAGCCTGCGGCAAGCTCCGGCCGCCGTGGGCGCGATTCGCGGAAGGAGCCGACAGGGCAGCTAGGCCGCAGCAAATCATCGCCAAGGGATTGGGCCATGGTGGCGGGTCAGAGCCAGAGCCCTCAGATCCCCCAGATGATGCTGGCCTTTTTCGATGCCACCACGAAGATGCTGGACATGCAGCAGCAGTAGTCCTAACATCGAAGATTTTTGGGCGAGAGGAAGAATCCTGGGCCTGGTGTCCTAAGATCCGTGCGATCCTGGACCCAGAGCCCTAAGATTCGGCTCTCGCAGAGGAGGCTCGCGGTAGCTAGGCCGTAGAGCCAGGCCGTAGGGTAGGAGCCCGACTGGCCTTCACCCGCCCTTAGCTCACGAAAGCCTTCAGGCCCCAAGCAAAGCTACAGCTACTACAGCTTTTAAGCTTTTAGCCGGAAACCGGAAACCTGAACCCTTAGGCACCAAGCAAAATACAGCTACTACAGCTTTTAAGCTTTTAGCCGGAAACCTGAACCCTTAGGCACCAAGCACAACTGAAGCTGAAAAGGCCAAGTCGGAAGTAGCTCCAGTGTTCCACTCACCAAGCACTGCCGAGCACAGTCGTGCCAAAAAAGATTCGTTCTCAGCAGGCTGGCGGGGCGTGTGGTCAAGTGCACAGCCAGAAAAAACTACAACCAGGAATCATCACGGTCGAGCGTTTGTTGCAAAACAACTACTGAAGCGTTTCAGTTTTGTTTTTGCCGGGCATGTTGAACTCATAAAGGGTTTTAAGGCCACAAGAGGACAGAACACAGAAAACACAGTGAATTCTCAAGGGGGCGGCGCTGGGGGTCTTCGGGGGGGGTTTGGGGGCACTGGGAGGGCTCTGGAGGGCGTTTGCAGGGGATTTAGCACCTGTTTGGTCGGGGTGTCCGGGGTCGTGTCCGGGTCGTGTCCGGGATGTCCGGGGTCGTGTCCGGGATGTCCGGGGTCGTGTCCGGGATGTCCGGGGTTGTGTCCGGGATGTCCGGGGCGGGGCCCGGGAAAGGTGTCCGGGGCGGGGCCCGAGGGTGTCTGGGGCCGTTTTGGGTGTCCCGCCCATGTCCCGCCAATGTCCCGCCATGTCCCGCCCATGTCCCGCCATGTCCCGCCCGTGTCCCGCCATGTCCCGCCCGTGTCCCGCCATGTCCCGCCGTGTCCCGCCATGTCCCGCCCGTGTCCCGCCATGTCCCGCCCATGTCCCGCCCATGTCCCGCCCGTGTCCCGCCATGTCCCGCCCATGTCCCGCCCGTGTCCCGCCCATGTCCCGCCAATGTCCCGCCATGTCCCGCCCATGTCCCGCCATGTCCCGCCCATGTCCCGCCATGTCCCGCCCACGTCCCGCCATGTCCCGCCCTTGTCCCGCCCGAGTTCCGCCCAGCCCCGGTCCCGCCCACGTCTCATGATGTCCTCTGCGTCCTCTAAACTCTTTGCACAGCAGCCGTTTTCTCTCGAGGCTTTGTTTGTGTTAGCAGCAAAGAAAAAAAGCGCCAGGGGTATGCCTGGCAAACGCAAACGAGGTGACTCTCCAGTGCATGAGACCGATGCGACCCAGCGGGCAGCAGTGTGATCACTGATGCGACCCAGCCGCAGGCGGGCAGCAGTGTGATCACTAGTGTGATCACCCGCCGCACACAGGAGCGATCCGAGCGATCCAGATCCCCGCGAGGGGAAAGGGTTGCGACTATCATTTGGAAGTGGTGCTGGAAACGAATGGAGACAGATGATGGGACCATTTGGTGGTGGCAATGGTGGAAGGAAGGGTCAACGAATGGAGACAGATGATGGGACCACTTGGTGGTGGCAATGGTGGAAGGAAGGGTCCAGAATCTGAGTGCGGTTTTTTTTCGGCAATAAGAGCTTGCGGTGGAATGCTGGAATGCTGTCGCCGACAATAAGAGTTTGCGGTGGAATGCTGTCGCAGACAATAAGAGTTTGCGGTGGAATGCTGTCGCCGAATTGCATGACTCAGAGATTGCATGATTGCCTGTCTCAAGGCCTTGCATGGAAATGGAAACAAGTGCATTGCAAGGGTAGACTGTGCCACCCAATTGCCTGACTGAGAGACTGCATTGCATGATTGCTTGTCTTTTTCCGTGGGTGGAAATGTTTACATCAGTCCTGAGTTTGTCACTGAGAGTGAGCAAAGCCAGTTCCAAGAATAGCGTAGACAGCCGGAGCCATCATCCTGATTTCTTTTCTTTCTCAAGCCAAGCTTTTGTTTTTAGTGGGTTGCAGCATGATGGAGACTGGGGCAGCGAAGCTCCTGTATGCGATGAGTCCTTGGAGCTCAAAGCTAGGGCGTGCACCTGTGGTTGCTGAGCCCTGTGTAGGCATCTCTGCTTATCGAGAGTGGATGCAGAAAGCAGGGCTTGTTTACAGGCCATGCGCAGCCTACGATTTCAACATGGACTTGGTGCCGTTTTGGCGAGCTCTGCGAAACCAGGGTTTGCAGGGGACTTCGGAAGTCAAACTGGGTTTGCAAGAAGGGGACATCGAGAGGAATGTCGTGCTGTCAAAACTGTCAAGTGCGGAAGGCTTGATAAGCGGGCCCCCTTGTCAGCCTTTTGCCTCCACAGGTTTAAGGCAGGGCGCCCAGGACGAAAAAGGCCGCACAGATGTTTTTGAATCAGTTGTAAGCATGATATGTGAGGAAGGCTCGCGTGGCTGTCTTCTGTTTTTCATTCTGGAAAACAGCTCACATTTGGCTGATGCCAACCATGCTGAGTTTCTGAATGAGATGCTCTTGAGACTTGAAGTGTCACTGCCATATTTTTTGGTAGACACCGTGAAAAAGGATGCTGCGGAGTTTCTGCCAGTCAAGAGAGGTCGTTTTTTCATCAGAGGGCTAAGGAGAGACTGCCTGCCAGACCCCATGCAGGCGTTCCTCCCTGCCCCCCTGTGCTGCACGGATCTGCTCCCGGCAGTCACACTGGAAGAGATTTTGGATCTGAGCTTGGCTGCGACCGATGTGCAGAGTTTGTGTGCAGGGCACGCTGCTAACCTCACATTGTACAAGCAGACCATATCTCAGTGCATCGAAGAGCATCGTGCCCAAGGCAAGCCGCTGCCCTCGAACACGGTTGTTGTGGAGCTCGACCGAAACCCCTTGAGAACTTTCGGCGGGAAGTGGGGTTGGGGCAAGATCCCATCACTGAGGACTACGGGGCCACCTTTGTTTCTTCTGAGTTGCGAGGACTTGTCGAGGCCATGGCAGGTCATGCGACTGCACAGGTGGCTCAGCATCGCTGAGCGGTGCAGCGCTCTGGGGCAGCGTGCAAGCCACGCGGCCTTGTTCTCGAGAGACACCCATGCCCTGCATGCGATCGGGAACGCTCTCTCGCCAGTGCAGCTGGCCGCTGTTGCCTCGCCGCTCGTGGAGGCAGCGGTCAACTCTGGCGTGCTCACTGCAGGCAACCGTTGCAAAGCCTGCGCAGTGGAGCTTCTGCCGCACACGAAGCCACCGGGTACATCAGCAGCTTGTATCCTTGAAAAGACCCCGAGGCCAAGCGCCACAAAAGGTTCCAAACCAAAGGCTGCAGTTGAAGAGGCAACACAAAAGACTCGAAAACCGAGGGCCAAAAGCAGTGCAAAGCCGAAGGCTTCAACTGAAGAGGCAAGCCCAAAGACCCGAACCCCGAAGGCCAAAACAGCTACAAAGCCAAAGGTTTCAACTGAAGAGGTAACCCCAAAGACTCGCAACCCCAAGGCCAACAGGGTTCGAAAGCCAAGGGCTCCAACTGAAGAGGAAGCTCCAAAGACTCTGCCTCGTGACACCAGCGCAAAGCCAGAGGCTTCAGCTGAAGAGGAAGCCCCAAAGACTCTGCCTCGTGACACCAGCACAAAGCCAGAGGCTTCAGCTGAAGAGGAAGCCCCAAAGACTCTGCCTCGTGACACCAGCACAAAGCCGGAGGCTTCAGCTGAAGAGGAAGCCCCAAAGACTCTGCCTCGTGACACCAGCACAAAGCCGGAGGCTTCAGCTGAAGAGGAAGCCCCAAAGACTCTGCCTCGTGACACCAGCACAGCTGGTTTAGATGGCACCCAGGACTTACCACGTCACCAGCCAGAAGGCAGCACCCAGGACTTACCACGTCACCAGCCAGAAGGCAGCACCCAGGACTTACCACGTCACCAGTCCGATGACTTGGAGCTAGAGCTTGAGCGACTGGTTGACGAGCTTTTTTCGGATGATGATCCGGGCATGGACGTTGATGATGCTGCGCCACAGAGTCCACTCGTCCTGAGTGAGAAAGCAACACACCTCTTCGAGTGTTTGGCTAAAGCCAAAGCTTCATCCAAAAACTGGCTCTCGCCAGCAAGCAAGAGCTCCAAGAACGAATCTGAGCCAGCACAAAGCTCCGGAAGCAAGGTTGGCGACAGACGGAGGCGTTCTACTAGCTCAGGGCGAGACATGCCAGAGAATGCTCAGCGCAAGCTGCGTTTCCCACCTCACTTGAACCTGCCAAAAGAAGCGATCCACCTCTCGGATTCCGACTAGCGCTTCTAAGCGGGGTCGGTTGCCATGGTGGCGGTCTGCCTGTTCGTAGATAGGACCTGCTAGGATGGTAGGTGGATGAGCAGATGTGTGTGTGTGTGTGTGTGTGTGCACACAGCAAGCTTGAGAATCGTGCAAAACAGTCTTCCGATAACCCTTCTGTGTTCGCTGAGTAAGCTTGCCGGGTAGTTCCCTGATGACAGCCATTGAACTCAGGGTTCTTGTTTTTGTGTCTTGCAGCGATTTGTGTGGCTCCACAAGCCCCTCAGCTCCCACACTCGTGCTCCCCTGCCCCGCAGCAAGCATGACAGATGCCCCGGACCAGGAGATGCCTCAGAGCATCATGTGCATCAGGTGTGCGGAAGAGACAAGCATCTTGACGAGCTACCCAACTGGAAGGAACTGCTTGAGGCGGATCTGCTCCTGCTGTTCGTCCACAGACCGGTGCCTCTCTCGGATGGCTAAAGCACCGAAGAAGGGCTCTGCCGAAGAAGCCAAAGAAAGCGAGGAGGCCAAGAAAGCTCGAAAAAGCGCTGAGGCCCTGAGGGGAAGCGTGGCCAAGATGGGTTCCTCGGAGCGTGCCCAGTGGTACCGCCAAGAGAAACGGAAGCGGGCAACCGAGTCAAAGAAAAGCCGCAGGACCTTCGCAACGGCAGTGGGGGCCTTGGAAGAGACTCGCCAGACTGGGAAATTGCAGCGGCTCACGATACATGACCCCCCGCGACTGGTGCGCACGGGAAATGATCCTGAAGCAGTACAGTACCTTGGAGGATGCTATGGCAGCCTACGAGCAGCGCTGCACAGATCCGGACGTTGTGACCAAGGAGATCAACGGGGAACTCTGACTCCGGGTCAACAACGGAGGTCTGGAAAATGTCGTTGACCGCCATACCGTTGCAGCATCCGTGCGGCAGCGGACTGACCTTGGCGATGGCGAGCAGCTTGATGGTTTCGAAGAGGAAATCGGACCTCGCATGAAACGTGCTTCTGACAAGCTCCAAACAGAGCGGCTTCTGTCAGAGCAGCAGGGCAAGCAGGCCTACGTTCCGGCCGTCGCGGTGCGACGAGATTTGGAGCAAGAGAAGGAAGTTGCTGAGAACAGAGCTGCTGAATTTCAGCAGCAAGCCTTGGCACTCAAGGAGAAAGCTGATCAAAAGAGGAAAGAGTTGAAGGAGAAGCAAGCAACCCAGCTTCCCTCCTTGGCAGTGGCAAAGCTCAGCCTCACCAACGCTATCCACAAGGCAAATGCTTCGATGTCCGAGCTGTTGAAGCGTCAGAAGGCCACAGCAGACACCTTGTGCAAGGACTTGACGAATG